TCAACTGAGCGAATCGTTTTGACAAATATAGTACACCCATGTTAATAGGAAGCAGATTTAGTTGGTTTTATGTTTAAAAGATTCTTATTTAGTGAATTCCAAATTCATATGAAACCCTAGTCTCCCCCACAGCCGCTTTCAGTGTCGTCACGCAACGGGGGAGAAAACGTTGCGTGACGACACTGAAAGCGGCTGTGGGGGAGACTAATGAAACCCTGCTGTAACATTGGAATGGTTAACATTTTCCTCTTTTTTTTTCTTTCAAAATAATCAAACCGCCCTTTGGCGAACTCGTGAATACTAGTTGCACTTTACAAAGATTGGACTCCCTGTGTCCCTATGCTATTCAAAATAAGAATTATCTTGTGTTAGATTAGATCTAGTATGTCGTATCTCTGAATATCGCTCATTAAATCTGCACAAAGAGGTTGAACATTAGGAGAAAGGCGAAGACACGCTGCAAAATTACGCACAATATCGTTTTTTACTTCAGCAACGTTGTTTGCAACGAATTGCGTCGTGAGACATGGCTCAAAACATCGACTGCCTGCATTATTGCACGCAATGTTGCACCGTGTGTCCGTAGAGTCCAAATCTTAACAGTGCAAAAAGAGGAAAAGAATTGCTCGAAAAATTTTAATAAATTTCGAACAGGGAAAATTTAATTTTCACTCGTCTGAATAATAATTAATTTTGCGCACAAACATCGATAACCATATCGAAATTTTATCTTAAACGTTTTATCTTATTTCGAGGCGCGATTACACTGAGCAATTTTCTCTGCAACTTGTCTTGCATCAGCGTTGCGAGACAAGTTGCAAGTTACACGGTGCAACGGAGACTCAATCGTTGCCAATAGTAGAAAGGACTTATACTTTCTGCAACGCCGGATTGTTGCAATTTGACTCACAACATTATTTYAAATACGCTGTGGGCTACACGATGGACCCTGAGGCATGATTAATGAACAATGACTAACTCAATCACCTGGACTRCGAATATCCAATCTAGCCATCACCTAAGGTTCAGGCTAGATGGGATACTCGCATTCCAGGCGACTAAGGTTCAGGATAGATGGGATACTCGCAGTCCAGGTGACTAAGGTAATGGCTATATTGGATACTCGCAGTCCAAGCGACTAAGGTAATGGTTAGATGGGATACTCGCAGTCAAGGTGACTATGGTAATGGCTAGATGGGATACTCGCATCCCAGGCGACTAAGGTTTGGGCTAGATGGGCAACTGGACTGCGAGTATCCCATCTAGCCATTTCCTTGATCACCTGGACTGCGAGTATCCCATCTAGCCATTTCTTTAGTCACCTGGACTGCGAGTATCCTATGTAGCCATTTCTTTAGTCACCTGGACTGCGAGTATCCCATCTAGCCATTTCTTTAGTCACCTTGACTGCGAGTATCCCATCTAGCCATTTCCTTAATCACCTGGACTGCAAGTATCCCATCTAGCCATTTCCTTAGTCATCTGGACTGCGAGTATCCCATCTAGCCATTTCCTTAATCACCTGGACTGCGAGTATCCCATCTAGCCATTTCCTTAGTCATCTGGACTGCGAGTGTCCCATCAGATCTAGCCATTTCTTTAGGCACCTGGACTGCGAGTATCCCATCTAGCCATATCCTTGGGAGACGGCTGRAAGGGATACTCGCAGTCCAGGTGATTGAGTAATAAGCAGTAGACACTATGCCATCGAGTTTACGCAGATATACTTCATATCCTATTTTACTAACGAAAAATATAGTTAAATGACACACGAAATTACTGACATAATGTACATCCTGTTGTAAGAGTTGTAAAACTTCGGAGTTCTTTCGGATCCCACGTGCACAGCCAGAAGTCCCGCGTACAGGCTGGTCAACTTGGCTGCTGTGTATGTGACTGCTTACGACTTTTTATCRAATGGAAAACGTTTTATATTTGAACAACGTTTCAAACATGATTTGGTTTGATTCAGTGACTTCTACAAGGTAATCGCAGCCATTTTTGTAGTGAATTTTATTTGTTTTTTCTTTTTTTGGAACAAGTTAGGCACACAGGTAAGGCTAAAAATTCAACGCGGGCTCAATTTCAGCTTCGATGCACATGCTCAGATGTGCAATGAAACGTTTTTTTGCCGCCTCTGACCGGTCTAATGACGCGAAACATTTTATCCGTTTTCATGTGTGGACGGATTTTTTTTTTTCGGTTTCGGTGTGAAAAGTTGCGGATTCAAATTTATCATAGCGTGGACGGGGCCTTAAGCGCTGAATACCTACAAGTGAATATTTTGCTTATACCAGACATGATTCAAAAATGTTGTTGTTTATCTGTACGTATTTTTATAAACGCATCCCACATGGAAAGGAGTGAATATGCGTTCTATATAGCCTCTACCTGATCAGTGTGTAATTCTGTCGGGGCCGAAATCTCTGGCATAGCCGTAAATGCTTCGCGCTGCCATACGACGGTTCAGTACTCGATGTCTGGAAGTATATGGTCCTTTTTTAATGAATGAAGAAGCTAAAATCCCAAAATTATGTTTCCATAGCAGATAAACTCCGAAACTACTATGATGCACGTTCCGTTTAATTTTACTAACTGAGAAATCCCAAATGGAAAGGGGTGAGGAAGAGTTCAAAGCCAAAAAGCCACTGCATTTATGTCAAGTAAGACGGCAAGTGAGACTGACAGACGGACAGACAGACTCTTTATGACCCAGCAGTTTTCCTGTCATGCGCAACAAGTAGTTCTTCTCGAAAAATGATTAAAAATGGCGGACGTTTGATGTTTTGATTTTAAATCTTGATTTTTTTACTCCCAGTGGCCTAAATTTCGCAGGATATTAGTGCCAAAGAAAGCAGAAATCATGAATTCTATGGCTGAAGATGACCCAACTTTGCCGTTGGACTTGGAAAAAAGGTAAAAATTCAAAACAGTTGTCATTGGTTGAGCAGTTCTGATTTCAAAAAATAGCGCGCGATTTTTTCCCTCTTTAACCAGTAAACAATACTAAAGAATGTCAAACACAAGACTTGAATGAAAATAACATTAAACTCTTAAACTTTCAAGAGTTTTCGCCTTTTTTTTGTCTTGTAAAAAGTAATATTCACCGCGAAATATATAATTTTTTAAGACGCCGAACGCGACATTTTAGTTCAAAGGAAGCTGAATTCAAAATGAATTGATTATCTTTAATTCCGACTGTTAAATAGCTTTATTCATACTACTACATGCTTATTTATTATTTATCTCTTCTTTTTGTTTTAGTACGAATATCGCTCGCTTCAAACAGGCCATAGCGTCGAGAGAGTTTGGAGAAGAAATGTTGAATATTTCGAGCGAATTCCCCGAAGAAAACTTTCAAAATCTCACAGGAACGAGTGAAAATGGTATTTATTTTTAAAYATAAACTTCTGAAGAAACTAATAATTTGGAAAATGAATTTTTTTGAGATTTAAAGCGACTTATCTGGTACGTGTTAGTATTTTGATCTTTAGTTGACTTTCATCAAGTTCGTAATTTAATCTGTTGTAAATTTGAAACAAAATTTGTCGACGTTTCTTAATTTTTTGCTTATTCTATGAAAATGTTAGGTTATTTAGGTTTCATTATTTTGAATTACAGCCAAGGAAAGTGCAGCATCCCAAATGAAGACTTTGAGAGATTATGAAATGGTAAGAGAYAATGACCATCTGTCTGTCTGTCACGCAATCCTCACATATCAAAATAATCTTTCATCTTTCATCAAACGGATTTGAAAAAAAATAAATTTAGAAATCTAGATGAATTTATAAAGATTTTTTGAAGGTTGAAGCTGCTGATGGTAGAAGCAAAATTTACAAACATATAAATGATAATTAGTAGGTATATGATTTCAAGCATTCTTTGAATTCCTTAACCATTTATTTAACTATTTCAGAAATACACCACTTGCATGGGACGTCAAAGCAGCTCAATAGACCCCTTCACAGTTCTCTGCACCATCTTGAAAGGTAACCGTGCCTGTGCATYGAAGCAAGGTGGAYGGTGAGCTTATAATGATAGAGACATGTGAATAATTGTTCAAGATGTTRAAAAAAGGTCTCTATCATTGCAAGSTCAGCRTTCGTCTYGCTTCAATGCACAGGCATGGTTACCTTTCAAGATGGCACAGGGAACTGTGAAGGGGTCTATTTGGAGGACAAAGCRAAAGAATTTCAATCTCATGAGAATTGGAAGCCTATTGTTATGTCCTCCAAATTGAGTTGCATTTTGATGTACAGCAAGGGGTGTATTGAAAAAGCTTTATGACATTATTACCAGATTGAAATATGTTCTAATAACACAGTCACTAAGAGGAGCTTATCATATCTATCTCTCGATTTGAGAATTGTTCTTTACATTTTGATGGGGTTGACCATCCCTTTTCAATGTATTTCCTGTATATTTTCCTGTATTGCTCGGCTRTCCACGGTGTTGTGATAAAGGGAAAAGTGAGAGAAAGACCAGTCTGTCCTTTTGCAATGTACTGCAGACCAACGAGCAACACAGGCTACCCAAAATGTTAATTTTTAAATTGAACTGTGAGTTACCAATAATTCCCTAACTTAGTTCAGCCCAGAGAGCTTGAGGTTGTTTCTTGATTTTAAAAGAGGATTTCAGGATTTCCATTGGGGGGAGGAAGTGTCATCCATTCCTCCCTCAATGGTCAAAAATTGTGCTTTATTAGTGAATGGAGCACAGTGCTRACGCCATTCASAAGTGCTGCTAGATCCTGCAACCATCTTTCTTTTGCATAAATAAACTCAACGACCAAAAAACAAGTAGTAACTAAACGGAACACAAAGGCTTTGTTCATTGCCCAATAGAAAATTGAGATCATGGGCACTCCTGGACCTCTGTCTACATCTCCACTTGTTAGTTCAGTGTTTATTGATTGGTAAATGCACAACCTGAGCACAACCTGAGCACAGAATTGAACACCACTCTCTGCATTATTGAAGTAAAGAATCAGCTTTACCATTGCTTTACTTTTTGTGTTGAGCAATTTTTAGCAAAATTATGAAAAATCTCTAGCCAATAGTACTACTACATTAAATTCATGACTCATTTTAAATCAGTTGGGAATAAGATTAAAGTGGAATTTCTTGTATACCAACAATATGTTTTGAGTTAAATAGATTCTAATAAAAAAAATTTACTTAAGAGAATATTAATTATGACATGCTAGAGAATTTGATAATTTTTTATTTAAGTCTTATAATAATTAATTATGTAATAATAATAACAATAATAATAATAATAAGTCCAAGAATAATATTTATAATTGATTATTTTCTACAAATGGCTTAAGATAAAGGATTATTGTTGTTTCACTCTCGATGAAAATGAAAGGGCATCATAGCTAGTTTACATAAATGAGCAGCTGTAATTCTTGGTAGCGTTTCAGACCTTTGCATCTATCAATAGGATCGTTTGAAATTCTGGACGTAAAAACTTTATGCTTAATGTCTATACATAATGACCAACAACCTTCTTGAGGTATATAATTTTTTTTTACATATTAATTTTACTTGGGATCTCTTTGTATTTTATATTAAGAATGTATTYATAAATCAAAATTGAATGCAAAAGTTTATGCATAATGACTGACAACCTTCTTGATCAAAGTATTGGAAAATATTTTTTACATATTTACTTATTACGTAACTTATATTTAGAATTTATTTATGAATCAAAATTAAATGCTAGTTGTAGTGAATGTGATATATAATTTATTTATATATATAAAATACGCCCTAAATATTTAGATTTATTCTAAGTCATATTGTAAAGTTAATCACTTAAATTAATGTTATGAAGACCAAAATGATGACTGACAATCCTTTTGTAACGTTATCTAGTCATTAACAGGTGCATATTAGATCCTTAAGCTAAGATGCAAAGAAAAGTGTTTTAAATTTAAAGTTAGGGAATATTTTTTTGCTGTTATCTGGAAAACTACAAAGTATTGATTGGTGAAATGTTTTATTATTGTTACCATTATTATTATTATTATCATTAGATATTATTATTATTATTTTATATTTTAAAAAATGTCTCATGTCACAAATTCCATAATGTAATGATCAAATGCTCAGAATAATAATAATATCCATTCATTTAATTTTATTTATTTATTCAATATTCATTTATTTCTTCATTTATTTATTTATTTATTTGTTCATCTATTTACTTATTTATTTAATTAGTTAGTTATTTGATATAATTCATTTATTTGTTTAGTTATATATACTTATTTTTGCATATTTATCATATGACCCGTACGGCCCTGCTCGCGCGCTCTAATAAAACCATTGGAAAAAGTCACGTGATGGGGGCCGGACGGGCTGATGTAAGCAGGCCGGAAAAACCCGTCTGGCCCTGCTCAAATCCGCGCGCTTTCTTTTTCTTAATTATTTTATTTTCGTGAGGCTCATATGATAAAATGCTTATTGACTGAGTTAGGTCGGGCTGTACGGGAAAATATTTGGCTCTCGGTCATTTGTACGGACCTCACTGCGCTCGTACCGTACGACATGACCTCGAGCCAAATATTTTCCCGTACGGCCCTCCCACTCAGTCAATAAGTACATAATATTTGCATATATTTGGTCATTCATTTATTTGTTTGTTTGTTTTATTTGTTCATTGGTTCATTCATTCACTTATATATTTGTTTATTCATTCATTTGTTTGTTTGTTTGTTTTATTTGTTCATTCATTCATTCATTTACTTTTTTTAAAT